CAAATTCTTTTTAGGAGAAATTAAATTAGGGGAAAAATTGAAGAGTTCTGAAAAATAGAATTAATGGTTATGCATCAAACGTTCAGCCACACCTGTGGAAATCAGTAGTGTCACTTACAAATAAGACTTAGTCAAAGCAAAACTCACATTCTGCCTACTTTTATCAATGCTTTGTAATTCATTTAAAATAAAAACTAAACGAAAATGTTGCTATTGAGTGCATAGTTCAAAAACTGTTTAGATATCAGGTTATTCCGCTAGGAACATGCCGAGCAGAGGAGACGAGTGTTTCAAACCTCTGCCTCTCTCGAGCTTAAGACCACGTAGACATAAATTTTTTTACACTGGTGATAGATCTCTCAATAAATCCTGCTCAAAATCAAATTGATCAGTCATAAATTATGCTATGCTGCCGCTCTTAAACGGAGAAGCAAACAAACGATGATAAGGGATGCCAAAAGAATTAACAGTCTGAAGAATTCAGACTTTTCAGTTCTGAAGACATATAGATGCTCTCGAGAAAATAGTTTGGGAATTATTACAGTGGAAAAAAACATCCTGATCTTCTCCTGGCTAAAGGTCTGTTGTCTAAGACTTGTTTTGTGTCCGGTGTCTTTATTTCCAGCCAGGAATGAAAAGGGCAACTTCAATGAGTCCGTCAAAATTCCTCACGCGAAAAATATGCCTGTCTGTTGAAGACGCTAGACCAATGATCTCTTGAATGCCAAACGAAAAGCCGCCCACAGCCACCACAAATATCTCAACACCATCGTTCTTCAAACTGAAAGCTTTAAACAGGGTCATATCTTTTCCCATGTTGGACAAGCCATCCGTGACAAGCAGAACGTTTTTATAGCCTTCTGGATCGAAACCAGAACTGCGTGCGACAAAAGAAGAAAAGAAAATTGTTCATTTAACAGTATAATCGGGCGCATACCTTAACTTCGTTTCTTTTTAGCATGAAGTGACTAGGATTATTATGACTTCCCCTGGATGAGATGCTAGTCCCAAGTCAGTTTTTTCCCTAGTACAATGCACGTTTTCTGGCCTGTACCCATTTATACCCTCGGGCGTGGAAAGAGGTAGAGGAGTAACACACCCCTTTGAACTGGCATGCATGTCTGTTCCAAAATTATTTGGCGCATTTCTTGGGTACAAGGGTTCGAATTGATAGAGCCTGCAAAGCGTTCTAGGATCGGCAAGGGAAGAGAAACTCCGAAACGAAATCACATAATACACATTTCCGGGCGTTTTTCACCTTTGCTTATTGCCAGCGACTTTGCTTTGCTGCTATTAATTATTTCCGGCTCTCTTGAACGTTTGAAAATTTTTCCTATGAAACATATCGGTCTTGCAGTTATACCTGGATACTCTATTTCTTACCAAAATCTATAGCCTTATTTCAGTACAGAATAGCTCAAAACCGTTTCAAAATCAAGTCATGTCTTCAGTAAAAAACTGCGCTTACCGCGAGTTCCCAAACAGCTTGTCCTTGCACACCTGCAATGCCTCCTGGGTATTTGTGAGACCGGCCTTTCGTTTGACAGTCGGCAATAGAGCTATCGTTTCGTTATAAGAAATGAACTTGGGAGTTAGAACAGTGGCCTCCGTGGCAAAATTGACGACAGCGTAGAGAGTTTTGGGGTCGGCTCTCTCTGTGAGATAAACCAGGGCATCGAGTCCCTTCTTGAAATTTTCTGCGCGAATCGAGTTCGAGGAGTCGATAACATAGATGACGTTGTTGGTTGAATTGGCTGCTCCATTTGAAGCTTGTCGCTTGGATCTTGAAGTGACAAGACTGCCTTCACGGCGAAGGAAGTATTTCATCATTTTCTCTGCTGTTACCTTAGGAGCAGGGATCTTGAGAGCTTCTGTGAAGAAGGAATAAGAGTAAGGAATTTCTAACGAGAATCACAGTAGACCTGCTGATAGGGAAGCAAAATTTTGTCATATTTTGATTGTTTTATCTTCTGTTTTTCCCTTTTGTCTTCCACTGTTATTAATCTTTTCACTCATATAACAATAAATTAAGACTTACAGACTGTGACGTTTCAAGCAGAAAATAGTTCTTAAAATGGTGAAACAGCGTTACTTGCTACGTTTAATTTTATAATCATAAACAATTCATTTTCCGTATCACTTTGCGCTCCAAGAGGCATGAGATCGCATCTTTGGCAACCTACAATTTCAACTTTTCCGGGGAGGCATGCCCCGGACCCCCTAGGTTGGTTTGCCCCTTCAGACCTCGCTTTAATGTACGCCCCCTGTTATGCTCTATTGGATGCCTGTGAAAACTTCTGCTAAGAACCCTGACCAAATATCGAGATCCACACTAGCAAAAGACACGGATCAAGAAACTGCTCCATGGCGGCTTCATTACACTGTAAGAACATCATTGTCAGAAATAGTACTTTCATATGACCGTTAAAAGCACTAAATATACACGTCGAAAGGTGAATATGTATGCGAAAACATGGAGGGGGGGTCACTTCAATAAAATAAGATTTAAAGGAGGATCAGCTAAACGTTTTTGTCTTTAGCCGAAAATCCTCCGACCCTTCCCCCCACTCCCCCCCTCCCCCTCAGGCGATAAATAATGACCGGTCTCTCAGGGGCACTTTCCAAAATTTTCGACAAGCACCTCCGTACTTTTTGTATGGAAGATGAATAATTTAAATAGTGTTAAAAGTTATGAAATATGTTGTAAACTATAAACAGTGCCCCCTTATTTTTCCTGAGCCAAAACACGAGGATATTGTACCATTTTAAGTAGAAAGGGAGGTCGAAGAATTTTAATTTACAAATGGAAGCCTTCTGTGTTACTAAAACGATTAGTCCATAACCTGTGGCTATTTGCGGTGTCACCCGAAGGCGCAACTAAAGGGCTTTTCTACGAAAAAAACAATCGTTACCAGGATCGCCTTAAAGATTCCTTAAAGGCCAAGGGTAAGCTTTATCTCTTGGATTTATCTACTGTTGAAGAAATGATTGTTGTATATCACCATTTTGATGAATTAAAGTACAATAGTGCGTGATTAGCGTACAAAGTACAAGGACACAAGTTCATGCATACAAGGTTTATCTATTGGATTTATCTACTGTTAATGGAATGATTGTTGTATATCACAACAAACTGAAGAATTATGATTCAATGATATCTGATATTCACTCTTGTGATGAATTTTAAAAGTGTTTGATTGACGTGCACAGTACAATTAGAGAAGTTTATGTCTGATATCGGTTATTTTTCAGTTTCAATTTTGCGGGGCTTTGGCGAGAAAAAAATTATGGCTGTGGCAGTGTCCACGAAAAAAGAATTATGACTGGGGCAATGTCCATGAAAAGATTTGCGACTGAGCCAATATCCATGGTGAAACTCTTTTCCTAAGTATTTGGGGCGTTTATGATGACTTGTGAACAACAAAAACGAGCAAAAAAAGGACTGAGGTAAGTGCGTCGGTTTGCCTTTTAACAGCTACGGCCCTGGCTTGTAATGCGTGAAAGGTCGTAAGAGGTATTACAGGCTCTAAGAAATATTCGAAGACTGTTGTGTAAATGTAAAGACAACAATCATTTGTTCATTACGTTCAAAAGTCTAATAGTTCGCCACAGGACGCCGCAAACTGTTTCTGCAAGAAAACACGGTAATAAACGATCTCCTTGTCTGCCAAAACACTAAGGTGTTAATTGAGGACGAAAAAATAATTAAAGCGAAAGCAATGACCCTAAAAATCACGCGATGGTGGGGCTCTGACCGTTTTCCGTTTTTGTTTTCACTACACCACTCTGTCAGTGTGTTTAAACCACCCGCAGGCATTGTTGTACAATAGAGCCTTGATCAAACTGGACAGGCTGGACGAGACGACACAAAAAAGGCCTTGTCTTGCCTTATACAACTTGTATCGTATCATAAATTTGCTCGACAGAATTAGCTGTTTTGTCCCTCGCAAATCACGCGCTTAATTTATAGCTCACAATGACCGACTGTGTAATACACTAAGCAGGTTTATGGCTAACTTTTTGCTCTATCTGTAGAATGCGTTTGTTGCAAAATTTCGCCGTTGTCTAGCTCCGCACTTTCTTACCTGCAGCAACAGCCGCACGAAATCGGCTTGAACGTCTCGCCACAGCAGTAACGGAAATGCATAACCCAGTTAACAGCAAAAACCCGAGAAGCACTTTACAAGACATTGCCATGAACTTTTGTCAACACAGTCAACTACTGAACAAAGTTGTAGCGACAAAGCTTCTCTTGTTGTCACCCTGTGGCAATGACGAGGTCTCCAACGTGTGAAGAATTGCTTTAGTTTTAATAAGCGTAAAAGATATCCTATGTCAAAGTTATGCAATCTCCCTCGAGCGGTCGATGATTGAAATACCGACTTATCAGTTTTTAAATACATTGCAGCGACTGATAAGTAAAGAAATTTATGTTATGAAGCTAAATCATTCGTAAATGGGGTTTTCTTTTGACAGAAGGTTGACAGGTAAATTTGGACGTCAAAACGAGATCCTTTGCAACCTCGTTTAAGCGACAGGAGAGAGATCCTGGGATCGAGGTTGGATTCTTGACTGTCGCTGGCACGTGACGCTGTCGTGGCCTTTACATTTCATTCCCTGGAGCTTTGACATTATATCATTACCATGAGACCCTCGTTTATGACTGAGGGAAAAAATTCCCCCCATTTGTTGGCTAACGATTTAAATTTTTCTTGATTACATGATTGACACTTTTATTGCTGTTCCGTTCCATAGTTCATCGACTACTAAATTCATTGTTCGTTTGTTCTAAAATGTAGTTTTGTTCAACTAATGCAACATTCAAGAATTTAATTTGCGACGTGCATTTTTATCGCAGGTGGCAAATGAAATGTTCGTGTGTGGCAGGGATCAAAAGGTACCAGAACTGAGGGGAATTTTCTAAATGTGTCTATTACCACCAAACAGACTTTAGAACCGTAGAGTCCAAAGAATCAGACCAGAATAGCTTTAGGAATTCTTTAATCTTGCCTCAACGATTTCAATAATTGAGCGTGTCT